AGACCCAGGCTCCTGCTATCTTGTTGCTCTGCCATCCCACGTGTTGCTCTTGTCCTTATGGTCTGAGATGGCTGGATACCATGTCTATATTACAGTTAGAAAGTTGGAAAAAGGGTATGTTCCTTTTTCTTTTTTAAATGGAGTCTTGCTGTGTCACCCAGGCTGAAGTTCAGTGGCACAATCTTGGGTTACTGCAACCTCTGTCTCCCAGGTTCAAGCAATCCTGCCTCAGCCTACCAAGTAGCTGGGATTACAGACCTGTGCCACCACAACCAGCTAATTTTTGTAGTTTAGTAAAGACAGGGTTTCACCATGTTGGCCAGGCTGTTCTCGGACAGCTGACCTCAGGTGATCCACCCGCCTTGGCCTCCGAAAGCATTAGGATTACAGGCATGAGCCACCGTACCGCACCCTGCCACCCCTTTCTTAAGCTTGAACATTCTACCCAGGAATTTAGCAAGAACTCAGTCACATGGCCACATCTAGCTGCAAAGGAATCTGGGAAATGTAGTCTTTCAGCTACCATGTGCCTAGCTAAAAACTGATAGTGATCAGTCTACCACATCCACCTCACCTGTGGGCTTTAAAAACATCCCTCCACATAAACAGAGTCTACAAGTGTTATATTCAGGGCATTGACCATTGTCTGCAGGTGCAGGGCAGGTAACTAAGGGGGTAATACTGGCCTGGTGGGACTCATCTCCAGTTGATGGTGACACCCACTGCTTGCTCCAGCCTGTTGTAGCTTCTGCCCTGCCCCTGCTGACAATGTCAGCCTGGGTTGGGCCTTTCAAGAGAGCTGAAAATAGGATCTTAATGAGAAAGCTCCCAGTGTTGGCCAAATAAAACCTGAAACAGAAGGCATCTCTGTTTGATTCCAAATCAGTTTCCCCACAAGGCGAGGCCAACTCTGCCCTGAGTTCTCCCACCTGCCCACACCCTTATGTTCTCTGGAAATTCCCACTCAAAAGCCAGAACTCCCGGTTTAGATATTTTAATATGGATGTTTTGTTTTTAGATACTATTCTCGTTAACTTATTCATACCATTTCACCTACACATATGAAAAAATATTTCATGACTAGAATGATATCCAAAATTATTTAAACAAGGCATAAATTATCAGGGGACTAGTGCCATAGCCCCTCTGAATGAGGAGGGCTGGCAGGGGGTGGGAATAGACTCAAGGACTCAAATTTCCACCCCCACTCAATTGGGGTCCAGCTCCCAACTTTGCTGCCCCCTCCCCAAAGGCCCAAGTTGCCCCACATCTGGAACTCATCCAGGGGCACTACAGGCCAGCAACACCTTACCTTCCCTGCCCTCATTCAGGCAAAGGTCCAGGGCAGTTTGCTCCCACAGCCCATGGTATCCATCTGTGAAGAATGAAGGGTGATGGCACAATCCACAGCTAAGTGTTTAACTGGGAATTAGGGAGACACAATTTCTCTCCCGTACTCTCTTCCCATTTTTTTCTAAACAAAAGATCTCATTATTGTCTGATGTCACCGTCTCCTGAAGACCCTGTGTCCTCCAAAGACTGAAGCTCTAAATGAGAATCTTCTGGGTCCTCTTTATTAAGAGCCATCTGCCCTCCCAGGGGAGGGAAGCAAATCCCTCAGGGCCCCCAGAGTTCCTGCACCCCATATCATGGGTGGGTCTCATGGGCCACAACGCCACCTGTCACCATGGAGAGGCTTAAGCTGCACTCAGAGCTCCCCCCGGGCATGCCGAATGTAGTGTTGATGCAGCCCTGCTTCCTGAGCAAAGTCCTGACCACACTCTGTGCAGGCGAAGGTGCCAGGAGGGGCTCGGGCCTCATGCATCTGGCGGTGTCGCCTGAGAGAAGCAGCCTGCCCAAAGGTCTTGCCACAGTCAGGACAAGGGAAGGTGGGTTGGGCAGTAGTGGTTGCAACCGGTGGGGTGGGCTTGGCGGCTGGACCGTGGCTGCGCTGGTGGGTGATCAGGGCTTTGGAAGAGGGGAAGGAGCGGGCGCAGGTGAAACAGATGAACAGGACCCCCTGCAGCTTCTGGGCCACGAAATCCGCTGGGTGTTCCCGCTTCATGTGACGCTCCTGGAACTTGGAATCCGCGAAGGTGATGAGGCAGCGGGTGCACTTTGGGGCCCCCAGGTGGCCTGAGGGATGTGGGAAGAGGTCAGGGGAGGTCAGTGGAAGTCTCCAGAACCTCTCCTGAGCCCCAGAATCACACCAGCAATTAACATTGAGTGTGCTATGTGCTAGATTCTGTGCTAATGCTGGACAACCACACAGAACTGTTCTTGGACCCATTTTATGGACAAACAAACAGAGATTCAAAGAGATTAGGAGGCTGAGGTGGGTGAATTACCTGAGCCCAGGAGTTCAAGACCAGCCTCGGCAACACGGTAAAACCCCATGTCTACTAAAATACAAAAAATTAGCTGGGCATGGTGGTGTTCACCTGTAGTCCCAGCTACTCAGGAGGCTGAGGCAGGAGAATTGCTTGAACTTGGGAGGCAGATGTTGTAGTCAGCCGACATCATGCCACTGCACTCCAGCCTGAGCGACAGAGTGAGACTCCATCTCCCAAAAAAAAAAAGGTTAGGCAAGTTGCCCATAGTCATGAGGCTAGGAAAGGAAATGGTGGAGCCCAGAGTCGGCCAGCCCAATAGAGGGGTATGGTGATTACAGCCCAACCTTTGGAGCCAGACTGTTCCGCCACTTCCTAGACACAATTTAACCAGTTTCTTTATCTGGAAAATGTGCTAATAACAGTATCTACTCCATAGGACCACTGGAAGGAATAACTGAATTGCTATATAGTCGTTTGCAATGGTGACTAATGATACAGACAAATGGAGCTTGACATCCATGATCGGCTCTGGTACTCACAGCTAGACCTTGGTGTTCTGTTGAACATAAATAATTTCACAGAACATCAAGGACAGCCAAGGCCACGCTGTGACAAGAATGAATCAAGACAAGACTACATCATCATAACGTCTGAACACAGACAAAATATGAATACTGTCCAAGCAGACAAATGACCAAACTTCCTCCTATCCTGGCTAATGTGAATGTCTGCTGCTGCTTTATCAGTCAGAACTTGAGCCTCACCTTCTTCCTCCTTCTGCATAAGATTTATTAAAATAGCCAATCATAGAATTGCCGCTGCTTCCTGGTGGCATCCAATCCAGAGCCAAACAACACTTTTGCTGGAACCTTTTCCAAAACCACCACCCACAAGCCCAAATCCTATGTCGTTTTTAACACTTAGTGAGTCACCCCACAGTTCTCCCATGGTGTGTGTTTTTCATTGCACTAAGTGATAAACCCAACGTGTTCAACTGCGGGTGTGTTCCTGGTAGTCTCTGGCTCAAGGGCATTGAGACTACAGCTCTTGTTAGAAATACCTTTCTCTGCCTCAGTTCCCAGTTTAAAGGGCCTGTTATTAGAAGGACTGAGTGAGATAATGAATGTTAAAAATCATTCATAAGAATAAATACACGTAGCACATAATAAAACATTCAGCAGGAGATATTGCTATTACATACCAAACTGGCTACCATCATTAACACCCAGCTGTCCCCTTTGCTGCAGTTAATCCCATAACCACCCTGTGAGGTGGGTAGTGCCAGCCTCTTGACAGTCAGGGAAACCAAGGCCCAAGTTAACACTGAAAGTCTAGGGCAGAGTCAGAACTAGGATCTTGGGGCTTCTCTCCCAGTAAAACTATTCTGAGCCACATCTCCAACCCAAGCCTCTCCTGGAAGCCACCTTATCCCTCTGAATGCGTAAGCACTGCAATCCTGCTTATGCGGCCAGAGGAGGGTGAGTACTCTGGCCACAAAAGCAGGTGTGAGGAGAGGCACTTCCTTCTAGAGCAGTTTAGGGGCCATTACAGCACCTTCTCGACAGGCGAAACTCTGTGGGGCCTTGGACACAAGTGCCACAGAGATCTTAGCGTCAGCTCCTGCAGCCCACCCTCCTCTAGCCAGCCAGCCATGTGTACTCACAGATGTTGCCTCCTGGGCTCTGGGGACTTCTGTCCTTGGGTGAATCCTGCTGCTCCATGTTCTCTTCAGGGTTCGGGTCCTCCATGGTGCTGGGACCCTTCTAGTCAAGAGAGGAGCGGGCATGAGGGAAGCTGTTCATCTGTTACCAGCAGAGGGCACCCTAAGTCTATGACCTTTGACATCGCCAGAGGCTCTCCTTGCCTGCCTTTGACCCCTACGACATACTCTATCCTTGAACTCTAATTGGTGGAGTTCTTGTTAAGAGAAACTTCAAATCTCCCAAAAGACTGGACTTCCCGGGTTTGGGACTCCCCTAGAGTCTTCTCACTGGTGTGACCTGTGACCTGCTGCATCAAAGTCACTGAACTCAGCGTGGGAGCCTTTATCTTTGACACCAGCGTCATCCCAGTCTCAAGTGTCTTGAGGTAGGTAGTGATACCCACCCTTTATCCCAGTTCTTCCCGGGAAACATCCTCTGACATCCTGTGATTTTTGTTCCGCCCAGAGCCCCCGCCTCCCACGCGCGCTTGCAGCCAGTATCCCGCTACCCGCAAGCGCTGCCTACAGGTTCCTGCTCCCAGGCCTCTGTTTTCCTCCGCAGAGTGGAGGGCTGCCTTTCGCTGCGCCTGTCAGTCTCTCGCCACAGCGCCGCCACCCAGAGAGAAGTGGGATAGGACCCACTTAGTCTCAGGGTCCCCCGTGGTTTCCGCGCCCTTTCGCCACATGAGTCTCTCAGAGCCGAGAGCCCGGATTTGCCATCCGGCAGTAGTACAGTCGCACCAGCCCGGTGCTGAAAATAACGGAAGGGGTCCTTCTCTGCACTGGGGCGCGTTATGATGACGTTACAGCACCCTGTGCCGTAGACACCTAAGGTTTTTGTGCTTGAATGAGTAGGCGCTCGTGGCGCGCAGGCGCGTTGACTCCCTCATTGTTCTAGGTCCTGAGGCCGCGGAAGAGGGGCGTGCGCACTTTGGCCGTTCTGCGCAGGCGCTGCGAAGGTCTGGTTTTTCTGCAGTCTCCCTTCCAAGACACACCCCCTTGGTTGAGGGAGTGACGTCAGGTTAAAGCCACCGGGACGCGTCCCGGCATCTCTAAATCACGGCGTTCTGGCCTCTTCGGCCTCCGTCCGCCGCGGCCTAGGGTCGAGCTTCTCAGTGACTGACCCACCGCCACCGACTGCGCTCTCCCGTGGGTCGGCTCTGCTCGGTTGGTGATTTGGAAGGCGGAGGGGGGAGGATAAAAACAACAGTGTGTCCGAGGGAGGAGGGACTGGAAGCCAGATTTCTGAGGTTTCATTTATTTTTATTTATTTTTGAGAGATGGCCTTGCTCTGTCGCCGGGGCTGGAGTGCGGTGGTGCGATCATGGCCCACTGCAGCCTCCACGTCCTGAGCTCAAGCGATCCTCCCACCGCAGCCTTCCGAGTAGCTTGGGCTACAGGCGCGCGGCACCACTCCCGGCTAAATTTTATTTTTTATAGGGACAGGGACTCCATCAGCGAGTCCCACATGTTACCCAGACTGGTCTCGAACTCCTGGCCTCAAGCGATCCTCCTGCCTTGGCCTCTCAAAGCCCTGGGATTACAGGCATGAGCCACCACGCCTGATTTTTGAGTTTTTGAAGCAAAAAGGGAAACGTTTCCATCTAGAAAGAAGGTGGACAGACAGGACGCCTGGGATCCCGGGGGAATAGCGTCTGGGCTCTGGATTTTTTAGGTCCTGGAGAGTGACGCTCAAGAATCGAAGGGGACAGAGTGGAGGATTGAGGCCTGGGTTCCGGGTGGGGCGGCTGGGAAAGAAAAAGGTCAGGTGTTCCCTGACCCGTGTCTTCTCCACCCGTTGCTTTCCAGCCATGCCTCCGCCGCAGGGTGACGTGACCGCCTTATTCATCGGGCCTCCAGGCTTGGGAAAGTCTGCGCTGATCGCAGCGCTGTGCGACAAGGATGTGGAGACACTCGAGGCTCCCGAGGGACGGCCGGACTCCGGGGTCCCCAGCCTGAGAGCTGCGGGCCCAGGCCTTTTTCTGGGCGAGCTGAGCTGCCCACCCGCAGCGCCCGGGCCCTGGGCGGCGGAAGCCAACGTGCTGGTACTGGTGCTGCCTGGACCTGAGGGGAACGGCGAACCCTTGGCCCCAGCCCTGGGAGAGGCAGCGCGGGCCGCCCTGGCCCGAGGGACGCCGCTACTGGCTGTGCGGAACCTCCGTCCTGGGGATTCACAGAATGCCACCCAGGCCCGTGATCAGACTGCAGCTCTGCTGAACAGCGCCGGGTTAGGAGCCGCGGATCTGTTTGTGCTACCGGCGAACTGCAGCAGCTGCGAAGGCTGCGAGGAGCTAGAGCGCCTCCGGGTGGCACTGCAGAGCCAGGCAGAAGCGCTGAGGAGGTGAGTGTCGGCTTTCTGGCTGGATCCCTTAGCTGAGACCCTAAGCACCTAGGTCCTCTTTGAGGTCCGTGAGATCCCTCCCCCAGTGAGTTTGAGGCAAATCTTAACTCTATTATTATTTGTTTTTTTTTCCCTCAGAGACAGGATCTCGCTAGGTTGGCTAGGTTGAATTTGAATTCCTGGCCTTAAGCGATACTCCCGCCTCAGCCTCCCAAAGTGCTAGGATTACAGTCGCGAGCCACCATACCCAGCCTGTTTTTAAGACAGACTGGAGTGCAGTGGCACAATCCTAACTCACTGAGAGCATCCACCTCCTGGGCTCAAATGACCCTTCTGCCTCAGCCTCCAGAGTAGCCAGTACTACAGGCTGCAAAACAGGATTTCGCTGCTTCCCCAGGCCAGCCTTAAACTCCTGGCCTCAAGCCATGCTCCCACCCAGGCTTCCCAAAGCCCTAGGATTAGAAGGGAAGGGCTTAACACTTTATCTGTTGGGGCCCTGAGGCTCATTTTTCCAGGCCCTGGCCCAACCAAGGTGATCTGCCCGCCTTGACCTCCCAAAGTGCTGGAATTACAGGCATGAGACACTGTGCCCAGCCCCCTGGAAGATTTTGCCTGAAAACTCTAATCCCTGAGCCGTCTCCACCATTAGCTTGGTTTTCAAGCGACCTTGGTTGCCCTAAAGCCATACCTGCAATGAGTGTTATTATTAAATATATTATTTTATTTATTTATTTATTTGAGATGGCGTCTTACACTGTTTCCTGGGCTGCAGTGCAAAGGTGAGATCTCCGCTCACTGCAACCTCTGCCTCCCGGGTTCCAGCAATTCTTCTGCCTCAGCCTCTCTTGTAGCTAGGATTACAGGCGCCCGTCCCCACACCCAACTATTTTTTTTTTTTCCTTTTTTGGGGATATTTTTAGTAGAGATGGGGTTTCACTATGTTGGCCAGCCTGGTCTCAAACTCCTGACCTCACGATCTGCCCGCCTTGGCCTCCCAAAGTGCTGGGATTACAGGCGTGAGCCACGGCGCCTGGCCATTGAACATTATTATTTGGGGGCGTCCTCATCCACCTCCTTTCTCCAGCTCCCTCTCGTTTCTGTGCCTACTTGCTGGCTACCTCCTGAATTGGCTCTCCCACCTGCCAGCCTCCTCATTTTCAGACTTTAAAATGAGATTCAGAGAGAGGCAGTTCCTTGTTCCCGTACACTCTCATCTTTTTTCCTTAGCTTCACCTGCCTGGGTGACTACCTTAGCCACTCCCCCTTAGTAAGAACTAGTAGATGAGATTTTTCCCTTCATTGACTCTCCTTAGGCCTAACCTCTGAAAAGAGTGCCTTTGGGGACTTTGTCTCAAATAGTGTTGAGACAGACACATTTGCGATTCTTTGTTCTAGGGCCCACCCTCTTTGAGCTTTGTCCTGCCTCACACAGCTGACCCTTGGGAAAGCGCCGCCCCCAAATACTGTATTCCATAGAAGTCTTAGCCCAATCCCCATTTGAGGCTAGGGTGGGAAATCTGACCTTAAGCCCAGCCATCCAATCATCAGGACTCCATTATTGCTTTAAGCCCCAACCATATCATCATGGCCCCTCCCTATCGGTTTCTGTTTGCTGTGCAGTTAGGCCCCTCCCTTTCCCACCACTGCCCCACTCTGGGATTATTCGGAGAGCTCTGCCATTGTCATCATAGCCCAGTCCTTGTCATCCAGCCCCTCTTCTACCCTTGACCCTGTGCCTTCTTGTCTCCACAGGCTCCTGCCACCGGCCCAGGATGGTTTCGAGGTGCTAGGTGCAGCAGAGCTGGAGGCTGTGCGTGAGGCCTTTGAGACCGGCGGCCTGGAGGCTGCGCTGTCGTGGGTACGCTCAGGTCTGGAGCGCCTGGGCAGTGCACGGCTAGACCTGGCCGTGGCCGGCAAGGCTGACGTGGGCCTTGTGCTGAACACGCTGCTTGGATTGGATCCTGGCGACCCAGGTGCTGCGCCTGCTTCGGTGCCCACGGGACCCACTCCCTTCCCGGCCCCAGAGCGCCCGAATGTGGTGCTCTGGACTGTGCCTCTGGACCCCGCGGGCACTGCCACCACCCCCGCTGCCACCTCCCACCCTTCGCACTATGATGCCCTCATCCTCGTCACCCCTGGGGCCCCCACTGAGAAGGACTGGGCCCAGGTCCAGGCCTTGGTGCTACCAGATGCGCCTCTCGTCTGTGTGCGCACAGACGGCGAGGGTGAGGATCCGGAGTGTGTAGGAGAAGGCAAGATGGAGAAACCCAGCAGCGAGAGCTTAAAGAGCGCAGGCGGAGGGGAATTGGAGAATGGACTCAGTCAGGGAAGGGAGAAATATAGCGGTGGATCGCAGAAAGCAGGCAGCGGGGAAGGTTCTGGGAAAGCTCGCAGCGAGGGTTTGCAGCAGGTTGTTGGCGTGAAGAAATCGGGTGGTGGGGACTCAGAGCGGGCCGCCGCGTTAAGCCCAGAGGATGAGACGTGGGAGGTACTGGAGGAGGCACCGCCGCCAGTGTTCCCCCTACGGCCTGCCGGACTCCCAGGGCTGTGCGAATGGCTGCAGCGAGCGCTCCCCACAGCCCAGGCAGGGGCGCTGCTGCTGGCGCTGCCACCAGCGTCTCCCAGCGCTGCCCGAACCAAGGCTGCGGCACTGCGGGCCGGGGCGTGGAGGCCAGCTCTGCTGGCTAGCCTGGCGGCGGCAGCAGCACCACTCCCAGGACTGGGCTGGGCATGCGACGTAGCGCTTCTGCGGGGTCAGCTGGCCGAATGGCGACGGGGCCTGGGGCTGGAACCCGCGGCGCTGGCTCGACGTGAGCGCGCTCTGGGTCTGGCTCCTGGGGAGCTGGCAGCGCGTGCCCATTTCCCAGGCCCGGTGACGCGGGCTGAGGTGGAAGCAAGGCTGGGCGCGTGGGCGGGTGAGGGCACTGCTGGGGGCGCAGCACTGGGCGCACTCTCCTTTCTGTGGCCTGCTGGTGGCGCAGCGGCGACAGGTGGCCTGGGCTACCGCGCGGCTCATGGGGTCCTGCTGCAGGCGCTCGATGAGATGCGGGCTGATGCCGAGGCCGTGCTGACACCCCCTGAGTCTGCACAGTGAGGGGTGGGATGGGGGCCAGGCTCCCCTAAGTTTCACCTCAAGGGGAGGGGGCTTGGGAATCCAGATTCTGGCAGGGGATGTCTGGGCTTAATTCTGGGTGCTTGAAGGGGATGTGGACTCTGACTTCTAGCTGGGATATGTGACTTCTCATCACCTGGATTCAGAGAATCTGGGGGACAGGAATCCTGATTTCTTTAGGAACCATGGGGCATGACATCCGGACCCTTCAGTCCTGAAGGGAGTTGGTGGCTGGGACTCTGGAAGGGACTATGCCTGTGTCTCCTAGGGAGTAGAAACTGGAGTTATTGGATGTTTAGTCCTCCAGTGGAGGAGGGTCGAAGTCCTGTTTCCTAATTGGTGGGGAGGTGTCCATGACTGGGACCTGAACTCCAGTATAGGGGTGGGAGACCTGAGCGCCCCAGGGAGCTGGAACTCATGGGCTTCAGAGCCTCAGGGAAACAGGGTCTACATTTCTCTTGGAGAAAAAGCCTGCACACAGGTCCCAAAGGAGCAGTGGGCTTTGAATCTTTATGGGGTTGAGGAGGCCTCTGGAGTCTCAGCCTCCTGGGTTCCAAGATGGCTGGGGACTTTGGTTCCTAATTCTTGGGTCAGGGGAGGTCTGCATCTGGAGGAGGGATTGAGGGCTTGTGGGAGAAAGCTCTTGATCACTCCTGGGGAGTAGATGGGTTTCTACTAACTGCCCTCCAAAAGTCTGTTTGTAGAGACGGTGGTCCCACAAAAATGAGGTGAGGTGGGTAAGAGGTCTGGGCATGGTGGGCTCTGAGAGTAGCTGGGGACCAGGAATGAGGCCTTCTGGGTGTGGAAGGGCAGGAAAGCACACCTCAGAGATAGAGCTTCTGTAAACCTTGTGTTGGGATCCCGGCAACTGCCTCTGTGAGTGTGACTGGGAAGGGATATAACTGCCTTCACTTTCTAGGTGCTGAGCGATTCAGGTGATTTCTGGGGAGTCTGTTCCTCTGTCTCTTTTCTTTAGGGATATCTATCTGTTTTTGGCCTCAGTTTCTCCTGTCATTTAGCCATAACCCTTTCTGGCCTTGGTGTTTTGTGCACCTTCCTTTTTGGAAGAGCAGCTGTGCTGCTGCACTGGTCCAAACACTTCTGTGTGGCTGCCTTGGGTATCTCCAAGAGGCTCTGCTTTCTTGTGTACATAGAGGGTGCTGTATTGAGCCAGGGGCCCACCAAATGAGTGGGCAGGCATTTGAGACCATGGGAATATGCCAGGAGTGAGTGAAGCAAAGGCAGAAACCACAGTGCCTGGAATGTTCTAGGCTGCTAGCTACATGTAGGGGGAAAGCTGCAGGTTATAGAATTCTTCAGCATCAGAAACAGAAAAGGAGGATCTGAAAATCCAAACAAAGTCCAGAGAGGGCAGGCTTGAGGCCCAATAGCACACAGTGAGGCCCTGCAGGTCTGGCCCTTGCCTGTTCTCATTCCCTGCCACTTCCCACTCCCATCCAGCCTGATAGGCTTTTCTTTCTTTTTTTTTTTTTTTTTAATAATGGCTGGAGCCACAGCAGCCACATTGTAATTAAAAGGCAACACTCTTTTTTTTTTGAGATGGAGTTTTGCTCTGTTGCCCAGGCTGAAGTGCAGGGACATGATCTCTGCTCACTTCCAGCTCAGGCTCCTGAGTGGCTGAGATGACAGGCACGGCCCACCACACCTGGGTAATTTTTGTATTTTTAGTAGAGACAGGGTTTCACCATGTTGGCCGGGCTGGTCTTGAACTCTTGACCTCAGGTGATCCACCTGCCTCGGCCTCCCAAAGTGCTAGGATTCCAGGCATGTGCCATCATGCCCCCCTGATTTTCTTTGTGATGCCTGAGTGGACACCTTGAGTCCTGCCTGGGAAATCTTGCCCCTGCTGTTCTCTTTCCTGCAAGGCTCCGCTCATAACTTCCTGTCCTACTCTCAAATCTACCTTCTTGTGGCTGGCTCGGTCAGATCTCAGCTCAAATATCCCCTCAAAGAGAACTTCCCCTCCCTGGACACCCTGTCTGAAGTAGCTCATGTCCCCCATTATTCATTCCGGCCAGTTGAATTTCCTTGTAGCAATTATTACTGTGAAAAACGATCTTATTTATTTACCTGTTTATCGGCGTTTGACCCATTGCCTGTCCTGTTCTTTGTTGTTCCCCCAGCATCTAGAACAATAGCTGCCTGACACAATTGGTGCTTGGTAACTATTATTATTATTATGATACTAGAGACAGGGTCTTGCTCTGTTGTCCAGGCTGGAATACAGCGGCATGACCGAGATTCACTGCCACCTCCAACTCCTGGGCTCAAATGATCCTCACACCTCTGCCTACCGAGTAGCTGGGACTATAGGTGCACACCACCAAGTGTTTTGTAGAGACAGGTTTTGGTTTGTAGCCCATGCTAGTGTTGAACTCCTGGCCTCAAGCGATCCTCGCACCTTGATGGGAGTACAGGTATGAACCACCACACAGCCAGCCTAAATGTTTATCTCATTGATCAGTGGCAGAACTAGGATTGGAATTTAGATTGTTGATCTCTTGCCACAGGATAGGAAAATGGAGCAAGATGGGGAGAAACAAGCATTTAATGGGAGAGAACGCCCTTGTCCAAGGTCAGGGGACCTGGGAAGCAAGTATGGCTTTGCCGCTGTCACTGTGTGTGACTTGGACAGTGCCTTATTTTCCCATCTGTTAAATGGAGGAGCTAGAGAAGAACCTTAAATAGTTTTGAGATCCTGTCTCCCTTAAAAGCTGAAGACAAGGGTAACTGATCTGAGGGCAGATACTTGAGGGATGGTACCACCGTCTCCAGCCTGGACTCCCACCATTGACACTGTTTGTCCCATGAAAGTTGAGATATCCACCATGGGGAAGAGCGCTTTGTTCTATACTGAATGGCTCCAGGCATTTTCATGAAAGCTCTTTCAGCTTTAGGGGAAGAATATTCATCCATATCTGTAATATCTAGTACACTCCTTTATAGCCCTCATATTAGGGTCTAAGCCCTGGCAATCAGGCATGTCACCCATGTGATGGAATGGGAGGGCTGCAGGGCAGCACTGTCCAGCAGAAACAAAATTCAAGCCACACGTGTCATTTTAAGAGTTTTTTGTGTGTGACAGTCTTGCTCTGTCACCCAGGCTGGAGTGCGGTGGCGTGATCTCAGCTCACTGCGATTGCCTCCTGGGTTCAAGCGATCCTGCCTAAGCTTCCTGAGTAGCTGGGACTACAGGCATGCGCCATCACACCTGGCTAATTTTTGTATTTTTAGTAGAGATGGGGTTTCACCATGTTAGCCAAGCTGGTCCCAAACTCCTGGCCTCAAGTTATCCACCCACCTCAGCCTCCCAAAGTGCTGAAATTACAAGCAAGTTTTCTAATAGCCACATTAGACAATTAAAAGGAAACAGGTTAAATTTATTTTAACATGTTTTACTTAACCCAATATATCCCAAATAGCATTTTAGCTTGTCATCGATGTTTTTTAAATGAGTTATTTTACATTGTTTTATGCTGTCTTCAAAACCTGGTGTATATTTTAGACTTACACCACATCTCAATTACCATGATAGTTTTTTCTTCTGAAATGCTTGACCTGTGTTTCGAATTCATAAAATTCATATTTGGAGAAGTAGATTTACATATCCCAGTTCCAATTATATAATAGTTTTCCGAAAACTGAAGTGGGTGTCAATTTTTTTAAACTAGAGATGGGGGTCTCATTAAGTTAACCAAGATGGTTTTAGTTTTTCAGGCAGAGTCTCACTTTGTCACCCAGGCTGGAGTGCAGTGGTGTGACCTTGGCTTACTGCAGTCTCCACCTCTCAGGTTCAAGTCATTGTCTTGCATCAACCTCCTGAGTTGCTGGGACTACAGGCGTGTGCCACCACGCCTGGCTAATTTTTTATTTTCAGTAGAGATGGGGTTTCACCATGTTGGCCAGGCTGGTCTCAAACTCCTGACCTCAGGTGATCCACCCACCTCGGCCTCCCAAAGTGCTAGGGTTACATGTATGAGCCATCACGCTGCCACCAAGCTGGTTTTGAACCCCTGGCCTCATATGATCCTCCCACCTCAGCCTTCCAAAGTGTTGGGATTACAGGCATGGTCCACCGTACCTGGCCTCAGCTGTTCAATTAAAAGTAAATAAGGCCGGGCGCGGTGGCTCAAGCCTGTAATCCCAGCACTTTGGGAGGCTGAGGCGGGTGGATCACGAGGTCAAGAGATAGAGACCATCCTGGTCAACATGGTGAAACCCCGTCTCTACTAAAAATACAAAAAATTAGCTGGGCATGGTGGTGTGTGCCTGTAATCCCAGCTACTCAGGAGGCTGAGGCAAGAGAATTGGCTGAACCCAGGAGGCGGAGGTTGCGGTGAGCCGAGATCGTGCCATTGCACTCCAGCCTGGGTAACATGAGTGAAACTCCGTCTAAAAAAAAAAAGAAAAGTAAATAAAACTTAAGATTCTATGTCTCATTGGCAATAGAACAACATTTCAAATACTCAGTAGCCATGTGTGATCAGTGGCTACAGTATTGGACAGTGCAGATGCAACTTCCATCAGCTGGAAATTCTATCAGCCTAGCTCTCAGGGCAGGTAGTCCTTCAACTGACTTGAGCATGTCACTCCACAAATGGCCTCTACCTCATGTGGTTATGGTGAGAATCAAGCGTATGTATGTATATACATGCAGACAACATGTGCACACACTCATAACATAGTGCACCCTTTCATGAGAAGCCTGACACACTGGGAGCTCAAACTTGAGTGCCACTCAGCCCTGGGCATCACCAAGATGGCTTTAGTCTGGGCGCCTTTTGTCTCATCCCATGCCTTTGCTCAGAATGTGCCCCTCCTTTTTCTGTCACTTGACACCATCTCTGATTTGGTCCTGTCTGACATCACTGCTATATGCTTTGCTGCTCTAAATTTCCTCTGCCCTCATGCCAGCAGGAGTCATGCCAGAGATCATATCTGAGAAAGCAAGACAATTTTGTGTGTGTGTGTGTGTGTGTGTATATGTCTGTGCCCATAGAGGAGTGCTGGTTGTGTTGATATAGTTAGTTGTATATTGGTTGTGTTTATATAGTTGTATATATTGACACCCTTGAGTGTTAGGGCTCTTCGTGAGGGTGTTCACCTTTTAAATCATGACTTTCAATGGGATTGAATTTTAGTCTTTGTGAAGACATAAGGTTGTCGATAGGCGTCTGTCTCTGGGAGCATCCAAGCAGAAAAGACTAAGACTCTCGTGTAGACAGATCACTGGCTGCCATCAAAGTGTGTCTGTATGGCACCACAGGGCTGGAAGACTCTTAAAGGCAGGAATTCAAGGAAATTGATGATGAATTTTGGAATTGCCCTCAGAAGCAGAACAGGCACGGAAAACTTGGGTGAGTGGGCGAGGCAGCCTAATCACCACAGCAGAGTTCCATGTATTCCTGGATGATGGTGGAGGGGTTTGTGTCCACTGCAGTGGGGAACCATGAAGGACACATCAAAGATATGGTTGGCCTGTGGTGCCCTTTGGAGGAATGAATAAAAATGAATAGAAATCCTATTGTGTGTCTGTTTTTCTGGAGTTTGAGGGAACAAAAAGATCCTCAAGATTTTGACTGTGCTGGAAACCTGGACTCTGGGTCTGGGGATTGGAGGGATGGTGGGGAATCTGCCAGGAAAGACTGGGCTGTGATCAAGAGACTTTATCAGTATCTGAGTTTTGCCACCCTGGAAGGAGTGCAGGCAGACTTCCTGTTTAAACATTGGGAGCTTGTGATGGTAAAGCACCTTACCTCTGGAGCCAGCTGGACCCATTAATGTCCCCAGTTGGTCCAGCCTTTCTGTAGCCATTCAGTTGAATTGTTGCTCTCCTTCTAACTCTAGACTTGACTATGTGATTTGCTTTGACCACTAGAACAACAGCAAATGTGATGCAAGCAGCGGCTTGAAAAGTGCGTTGCACACTGGACTTCCTCTCTTGCTGCCCTTGGGGCCCCTCCCACCACTGCCACATCCAAACCCCAGGCTGGCCCAGCACAGTGGCTTGTACCCAGAATCCCAGCACTTAGGGAGGCAAAGGTAAAAGGATTACATGAGTCCAGGAGATCGAGGCCAGCCTGGGCAACATGGCAAGACCCCATCTCTACAAAAAATCAACAACAGCTTTTCTGGTCCCGGTCGCAGAAGCAGGATGACAAAGGGAATGTCATCGTTTGGGAAGCGTCGCAATAAAACGCACACGTTGTGCCGCCGCTGTGGCTCTAAGGCCAACCACCTTCAGAAGTCGACCTGTGGCAAATGTGGCCACCCCGCCGAGCGCAAAAGGAAGTGTAACTGGAGTGCCAAGGCTAAAAGACAAAATACCACCGGGACTGGTCGAATGAGGCACCTAAAAATTGTATATCACAGGTTCAGGCATGGGTTCCGCGAAGGAGCAACACCTAAACCCTAGAGGGCAGCTGTTGCAACATCCAGTTCATCTTAAGAATTTCACAGATTGCCGGGCGCGGTGGCTCACGCCTGTAATCCCAGCACTTTGGGAGGCCGAGGCGGGTGGATCACAAGGTCAAGAGATCGAGACCATCCTGGTNTTTTATGAGACGGAGTCTCACTTTATCACCCAGGCTGGAGTGCAGTGGCACAATCTCAGCTCACTGCAACCTCTGCCTCCTGGGTTCCAGAGATTCTCCTGCCTCAGCCTCCCAAGTAGCTGGGATTACAGGCACACCCCACCACGCCTGTCTAATTTTTGTATTTTTAGTAAAGACAGGGTTTGACCATGTTGGTCAGGCTGGTCTTGAACACCTGACCTCAAGCAATCCACGTGCCTAGGCCTCCCAAAGTGCTGGGATTACAGGAGTGAGCTACCCACCGTGCCCGGCCAATCTTCACCGTTTCTATTATTCATCATCATTTTTGTTGCTTTTGCTCTTTCCTCAGGTGACGATTGTCATGTCGTTATACAGCACTGAGCAGAGTTTCTCCACTCACATCCCAGGACGATGACCGGAGGATTATTCTCAGGAGATAAATGGCTCACCACCAGTCTTGGGCTGTGTCTGTACCACCTGGGGTCAGAGGTGAACCTTCTGAAATACTGCAAGTCCCTTTTGGAGGCAGGGACCATCTCAAGCTTGCTGAGGCGACCCCTGGAGGGCGACCTGTCTGTTTCTGAGCCTATGGAAAGATTTAGAAGCGTCCCTCACCATGGTCCTAACTGCAGTGTACAGGCCTGTGAGCTGAAGCAAGGGCCCCTAGGACAAGCCTGTTCAACATGAAGTTTTCTAAGTCAACTTGGAGCCTTTCCACCAGGAATGGCAGTGAAGGGCTTCACCTCCCACCTGGCAAATTTTTCTAAGTCAGTGTAGCAGCCTGGGGTCTGCTACCGCTCAAAACAATGCCGTTGGAGAGTATCCTATGGCAGTCTGAGCCTCGGGAAATGCTGGAAGTCCCCTCAGGTGGCCACAGAAGCCTGGAGCTATACCTGCCATTTTCAGCAACATAGATGAACCCAGAGGGTGTCAGGCCAAGCAAAATAAGCCGGGCACAGAAGGACGAACACTGTACAATCTCACTTAAATGTAGAATCTGAAAAAGTGAAATTCACAGCAGCAGAGGGTAGAATTGTGGCTGCCAGGGACTGGGGTAAGGGTGGCAGAAATGGAGAGATGTTGGCCAAAGGTACAAAGAAGCTGGCATGGTGGCTCATGCCTGTAACCCCAGCTATTTGGAAGACTGAGGCAGGAAAATCACTTGAGTCTGAGAGTTCAAGGCCAGCCTGGGAAGCATAGCGAAACCTCCTCTCTAAAAACAAACAAACAAACAATCAATCCAAACAAAAACCCCACAAAGGGTAGGAAGGTTCTGTTAAACAGGATGAATAAGTTCTGGAGATCTTACGTACAGCAATGTGACTATAGTTAATAATACACTATAGTTTACCTGAAATTTGCTAGGAGAGTTGATCTGAAGTGTTATCACCACACACACAAAGCGGTAACTGTTTGAGGTCAGGGACGTGTTAATGAACTTGACTGTAGTCATCACTTCGCAATGTAGATGTATACTGAGTCATCACATTCTACACCTTAAATATATACAACTTCAATCTGTCAAGTATACCTTAATAAAGACGAGGAAATAATTTAGGGGTCAAAAAAAGATACAAAAGCCTCTTCAAACAGGGCTTTATCCACAACCTGCTGGGGCTGAGGAGGTGATGAGACCTAAGCCAGCTCAGATGTGGTGGGAAATGCAGCCTAGGGCAGAATGGTAGAAGGTGCTGAGTGCTGCCAGAATGGCTCTGTGACGTCCTGCATTCTTGGTGGGAGGAACTAGGGGCTTGTCTGCAATCTGACCTCAAGGTTGGAACTACTAAGGGGCCTCCCTCGCTGCCTCCAGCCTCATCCACACCAGTTCCATACTATCTGGTAGCCAGGGTGGTCTTTCAAGCATCAATAAGTCTTCTGTGCCTGAAACCGCTCAACAGGGTCCTTCATTGCCCTCTTGCCAAAGGAGGGAGTTCAAACTGTCAACCTTGGCCTTGGCCTTTGGTGATTCGGCTCCTTCCCTAACTGGCATTCCCAGCAGTCCCATGATTTTCCCCAACATTGTGTGCTCCATGAGGACAGGGATCATTCCGATTAGATTGGCGTCCATCAGACTGAGGTCTCCAGTAGAAAACCTAGTTGGGCTCTAAGCTAGAGGTGCCCAGCTTAATTCAGGACACAGTAAGAGGGTCTTTGGGGGTGAATGACATCGTTTATAGATTTTTATAATTGATCCAGCAGATTATTCTTCCACATAGACGAGGGATTAAATATATTTATTAGTCAAAGGGATCCGAACTGACAGGGGATCATCCCAAAGTTTCACTACTTGATCTGAGCAATTCCAGATGAAGACTTCACAAGTTGCAACTCATTCAGAGAGCGAGCATCTTCTTAATTAACATGGAAACCAATCCAATCTCCTACAAGAACCAAGGAAAAGAACCATGTTCTTCAACACAGTGAGTAGGTGGGCATGGAGCCACCAGCAGACATCAAGCATGGCTTCCACCTCTTGCATCTTAGGAAAGGAAAGCAAATATTTCCTTCCTGCCTGCCTGCCTTTTTTCCTTCCATCTTGCCTCCAGTCCTTCCTTCCTGCCTTCTTTCCTCCTAAAGTAACAAAAATTGTTCAGATCCAAAAGAATCTAAGAAGCTGTAGTGTTTACAAAAAAAAAAAGCCAGGCCTGGTGGTTCATACCTGTAATCCCAGCACTTTGGGAGGACATGGTGGGTGGATCACCTGAGGTTGGGAGTTTGAGACCAGCCAGACCAACATGGAGAAACCCTGTCTTTATTCTAAAAAAAAGAGGATGGAAGGGAGGGGGACAGAAGGAAGGGAGGGAGGGAAGGAGGAAGGGAGGGAGGGAGAGAGGGAAAGAAAGAAGGAAGGAAGGAAGGAAGGACCTGAGCTAAAGAGATACATGGCCCAGTCATCCTTGATCCCTGAAATAGGCAGCTGAGACTAAAAGAATTGCCCAGCTGATCCCAGACCAAATTGCAACCCAGAGAAACATGAACTAAACAGGTGATTGTTCTAAACAACTAAATTTAGTAGTGTTTTTTTTTATGTAGCAAAAGCAACTAATTTGTTCTCTCAGTATGTGATGTGGTCTTTCTCTCCCCAGCAACATGACCTAATGATTAAAATCTTAAACTCGGTGGCACAACTGGCTTGAGCGATTGGAAACAAGATGCAGGACCCCAGGGCAGACACTGAGTGGAATGACATCTTACACAAAAAGGGCATCTTGCCCCTAAGGAAAGTCTGAAAGAATCGGAAGAGGAGGCAGAAGAGGAGCAGCACATCGTCCAGCAGTCAGTGCTGACAACATATGAAAATATGACTTTGGAAGAGCTGAAGGATCATGAAGACAAGTTTAATGAGGAGGACGAATGTGGTATTGAAATGTACAGATGGCAGAGACTGGCTGAGTGGAAAGCAACTAAACTGAAGAATAAATTTGGAGAAGTTTTGGAGATCTCAAGGAAGGATTATGTTCAAGAAGTAACCAAAGCCAGTAAGGGCTTGTGGGTCATCTTGCACCTTTACAAACAAGGAATTCCCCTCTGTGCCCTGATAAATCAGCACCTCAGTGGACTTGCCAGCAAGTTTCCTGATGTCAAGTTTATCAAAGCCATTTCAACAACCTGCATGCCCAATTATCCTGATAGGAATCTGCCCACCATATTTGTTTACCTGGAAGGTGATATCAAGGCTGAGTTTATCGGTCGTTTGGTGTTTGGTGGCATGAACCTGACAAGAGACGAGCTGGAGTGGAAACTGTCTGAATCTGGAGCAATTAAGACGGACTTGGAGGAGAACCCTAAGAAGCAGATTGAAGACATGTTGCTGTCCTCAGTGTGCCGCTCTGTCCCCACGTGGAGGGACAGCGATTCTGACAGGGACTGAGGCTGCAGCTGCTATCACATGCTGAACTTTCTGTGACAAATTGTCTGAATTTTTTAAAAAAGGAAAAAACAAGAATGAATCCTTCTGATTTAGTTTTGTATAAACTATGTTTTAAATCTTTACATTTTGGAAATAATAATTGCTGGAAATTCTGTTAAATAGTTTACAACATTTTAAATTATAGTATTTCCTGTAAAAAAAAAAATTAAAACCAGCTCTTGGTATGGTTAAAAAAAAAAAAAAATCTTAAACTCTGCCACTTTTTAGTTATGTAACCTCCAGTGAGACAGCCCTCTGAGCCTCCAATGTCTCCCGAAAACAGGGATGCAAATAATAGTGCCTATTACATAGAGTTGTGAAAATAAAATGAAAAACAGCTTCTAAGGGGTCATGGAGGTCATTTGTGCTATTAATGAAACATGTCCAGCTCTCTGTCTTCTGACCTTGGGGCAGGATCTCACTTCCTGGTCCCCATGTGGTTGGATGGGCCACATGACTAGCTCCATCCAGTGACTTGTATTAAAAGTCACTTCTGGGTCACAGCATATGATTATCCATGGTAGACTTCCTGTGGCACAGAAATTGGCCATGTTCAAATTGGTGGATTCTTTCTTTTTCCTTTTTCTTTCTTTCCTTTCTTTTCCCTTCCATCCTTCTTTCTTTCCTTCCTTCCTTCCTTCTTCCTTCCTTCTTTCTCTCTTTCTTTCTTTCTTTCTTTCTTCTTTCAACAGGGTCTCACTCTGTCACCCAGGCTGGAGTGCACTGGCAAGATCTCAGTTCACTGTAACCTCTGCCTCCTGGACTCAGGTGATCCTCCTGTCCAAATAGCTGGGACTACAGGCATGCACCACCACACCTGGCTAATTTGTTTGTATTTTTATAGAGACAGGGTTTCTCCATGTTGCCCAGACAGTTCTTAAACTCCTGGGCTCAGATGATCCTTCTGCCTCGGCCTCCCAAAGTCCTGGGATGACAGGCATGAGCCATCATATTCTGCCAGTGGCTACTTTATGATTGTGATGAGCTGAACACCCTCTAGATAGTGCTAGGGTGAAGGAAAATTTCATATTTTTTGAATGGGCAGTCATTCAGCAAATATCCACTCTTCTCCCTGCCACTGGAGAGGGAGTATATTTCCCTCCTCCATTGATGGGTTTGACCATATGATTTACTTAATGGAATTTTAGCAGGCCTAACCTTAGCAAGAGCCTTAAATACACTTGGCTTTTGTGCTCCTGTGATATGTCTTGAGAGCATTTGCCAGGGAGCTGCTGATCCCAGAAAATTGTGGAATCCCATGGAAGAGAGATCTGAATCCTCCCAAACTGCAGCCAAAGCAGCCATCCCACAAACCCTTAGAAGAAGGCTTGTTGGTATAAGTTTCAGTTTTCAGGCTGAGGTGGGTGGATTGCTTGAGCCCAGGAGTTTGAGACCAGCCTGGGCAACATGGGGAAACCCTGTCTCTAAAAAAAAAATTAATACAAAAATAGCTGATTGGTCTCTGTTATTCTACGTCCTTCACCGCAGGAGGCCCCGATGACTTTGTCACAGCCTCCATTGCCTTGTGATCTTCAGGTCCTGGGAGACACACAGTTAAGATGCCAGGACATCCTGGAAGCTGGGAAATGGTGAATTGGTTACTCTCAGACCAAGATTCAGCAGACGTGAGGCTGTGACTGCACTGAAAGGCACTGTCTGTAGACCAAATTGTGGCTCTCTTTTTTTTTTTTAATACAAAGTCTCACTCTGTTGCCCAAGCTGGAGTGCAGTGGTTTGATCTCAGTTCACTGCAACCTCTACCTCCTGGGGTCAAGTGATTCTGCTGCCTCAGCCTCCCCAGTAGCTGTTACTACAGGCACCATGCCTGGATAATTTTTTGGTATTTTTTAGTAGAGACGGGATTTTACTATAGTTGGCCAGGCTGGTCTTGAACTCCTGACCTCGTGATCCACCCGCCTTGGCCTCCCAAAGTGCTGGGATTACAGCATGAGCCACCACATCTGGCCCAAAATTGTAGCTCTCTTGCAAAAATTTTGTCAAGCATGAGATTGTGACTTATGTTCTTAGACCCAACATACAGGAGGTGTTGACCCTCATACCTAAAACCTGGACATGTATGGAATTTCTAATCTCATTCCTGAACTTTCCTGCAGGTGTGATTGTGACATACGCCTTTGTCCAGCACCTGAGTGATTTCAGTTTCCTGCCTGGTCCCAGCCCAAAGGTGATGTGACTCTTCTTCAGCCTGTGCCCCACCGAAAGAGGATTGTGATGTATCACTGGACCGAGAACCTAGATGATGTAACTCTCATCTTTTGCTTGGATCTTGCATATTTTGGGTGGATTGGTGACTCTCAGGTCAAGATTCAGTACACCTGTGAGGCTGTGATTTTACTGAGGAGACACAGTCTGCAGAAGAGATTGAGGCTGTTATGCATGGATTCATCTACACTGAGATTGTGATTTGTGTACTTAGACCCAACATCCAAATGATATTGATTCTCATACCTAGAATGAAGACATGTGAAGAAAAAAAAAATATCCAGGCATGGTGGCACACACCTGTAGTCCCAGCTACTAGGAAGGCTGAGCAGGGAGGATTGATTGAGCCCATGAGGTTGAGGCTGCAGTGAGCTGTGATGGTGCCACTGCATTTTAGGTTGGGAGACAGAGTAAGACTCTGACTCAAAGGAAAAAAAAAAAAAAAGAGGCCGGGCACGGTGGCTCACGTCTGTAATCCCAGCACTTTGGGAGGGCAAGGCAGGCGGATGACGAGGTCAGGAGATCAAGACCATCCTGGCTAACAAGGTGAAAAACAATCTCTACTAAAAATACAAAAAATTAGCCTGGCATGGTGGCATACACCTGTAATCCCAGCTACTTGGGAGGCTGAGGCAGGAGAATCACTTGAACCCGGGAGGCGGAGATTGCAGTGAGCTGAGATTGTGCCACTGCACTCCAGCCTGGGTGACAGAGTGAGGCTCCCTCTCAAAAAAAAAAGTCTCAGTTTTAGGATGACTTGTTACACAGCATTATTACAGTGTTTGTTGTTTTAAACCACTGAGATCAGGGACTTGTTTTGTTACTGTAACATCATCTAGTTTGTCTCAGTTGAAGCCAGTGTTTAGCACCTGTCAACTAATGGCCACTCAGTAAGTGGCAGCTATTATGATGATTACTGTTTACTCGGGCACACATTGTCTTTAGAATCCACGTGGTCTTAAAGGTGCTAGGCATTGCACTAAGTGTTTTTTTTTTTGAGATGAAGTTTGCTTCTTGTTGCCCAGGCTGGAGTGCAATGGCACGATCTCAGCTCACCGCAACCTCCGCTTCCTGGGTTCAAGCCATTCTCCTTCCTCAGCCTCCCAAGTAGCTGGGATTACAGGTATGTGCCACCACGTCTGGTTGACTTTCTATTTTTAGTAGGGATGGGCTTTCTCCATGTTGGTCAGGCTGGTCTCAAACTCCCAACGTCAGGTGATCTGCCCACCTTGGCCTCGCAAAGTGCTGGGAGTACAGGGGTGATCCACCATGCCCAGCCTGCACTAAGTGCTTTTTAAGTTGGCTTTCATTTGACTCTCACAACAATCTTATGAGTTTATAACTATTAATCTCTGCATTTTGCAGACATGAACACTGAGGCAAAAAAGGAAGAAGTTAATTGAAAGAGATGATCATGGACTCTGAACTATACCAGACTTGGGGTCAAATCAAGGTTCTGACCCTCTCTAGTTGTTTGACCCAAGACACCTACAATCTATGCCTCAGTTTGTTCATCTGTAGAGTGGGGGTAATACTATCAACCTCATAGAGTTGTTATGATCATGAAATGAGGTATAGGATGGAAAACACAGCATAGGGAACTGGCAAGGATTCATCCCTCCAAAAAAGGCAGGGCTGCCAAGCACGGTGGCTCACACCTGTCATCCCAGCACTTTGGGAGGCCAAGGATGGCACACTGCCCAACCTGGGCAACATGGTGAAACCCTGTTGCTATAAAGAATTAGCCGGGCGTGGTAGTGTATGCCTGTAGTCCCAACTACTAGAGAGGCTGAGGTGGGAGAATCACCTGAGCCTGGGAGGTCGAGGCTGCAGTGAGCCCTGCTTGTGCCACTGCACTCCAGACTGGGCGACAGAGTAAGACCCTGCCTCAAAAAAAAAAAAAGGCAGGGCCTTCCTTCTCTTCCTCAAAAGGAGGGGGTTTGAAAAGAGTATTGAGACCCCCTACTTCCTCATTCTGTCTCCTCAGCAGATCCCACATCACAAGGACTCAGGCTCGGTCTATAAACTTCTTTAATTTATAGACACATAGGGAGCCCAATGGGGACTTCGCGCCACTCATATCTTCCTCGGGTCAGTGAGCTTTCTAGGCCTCTGGCGTGGGGGCCCGACTGCACTCTGTTCGGCTGAGGACGAGGACATGGGAGGCTGTGGGCACTTCAGCACCTGGATTGGCGTAGCATATACTCTCTGTAGCACAGCCCCGCATGGCAAATCTGGGTTTGAAGATACCTGAAAGGGAGATTTCAGATTGGAATCAGGGACCTCAGCCCGTTCTTCCTCATCATCCCTGAACACATCCTCACCCACTTCTCTGGAACCCTCTCCTCCCATGGAACCTAAAAGTTGGGGCCTCTAGTTCTGTTTCCTCCTCCAGAGATCCAGGCACCCCTCACCAGCCTGCACGTGTCCAGATAAGGAGGTGCAGTAGTTTTCCTTGCCAGCACAGCGGGTCATGGGCCCCATGCATTTGTCCTTGAAGATCGAAGTGCAGGCGGGGCACATCAGGCCGTTCTCAGTACGATTAATCAAGGGAACTGAGGATGAGGATGAAGCGTCAGGTGAACAGGGATGTTTAAGCCCTTCCCCCAACCTCCCAGCAACCCCAGGGTTGCTAATGGACGCCGCATTTTACAGGTTAGGGAACAGGCTCAGAGCCAACAAGTGGCTACAGCAAGGGTTAGCAGAGATCAGAGCACACACCACAGGCCTGCTCCTGGGGCAGGGCAGGGCAGGGCAGGGCTGGGCTGGCACTTACCAGACAAAAAGCCACTGTTGCAGTTGTCGCTCTGGCAGCAGAAGGAGTTGGTTGCCAAGTAGTCCTGGGGGCCCATGGTGGTGGATACGTTGCCGGAGGAGCAGTCCTGGGACCTGGTGCAGCCCTTGTAGGTATGCACCCACTCCTTGCCCTCTGCAGGATGGGGGACAGGAGGGGAGGGAGGTGGTTGACCACTCCCTGGTCTCAATCACTGCCTCAAGGTCCCCCCTAACCCTAGGCTTCCCCAACCTCACAATTTCCTGGGAAGGTCTCTTTCTTTTTCTTTGTTTCTTTTTTTTTTTTTTTTTTTTTTTTTTTTTTTTTTTTTTTTTTT